TGTGGTGGAATTCTAATTTATTTTGATATCAGTAAGGCTTTTGATAAGGTACCTCATAATTTATTACTTGAAAAGCTGGCCTCTATAGGATTAAATTCATATCTTATAGAATGGATAAATTCTTATCTTAGTAACAGAACATTCAGGGTAAAAATCAATAATTATATTTCCTCGCCTAAGCAAGTAGTATGCGGAGTTCCTCAAGGTGGGGTGTTGTCACCAGTCTTGTTTTGTGTCTATGTTAATAGCCTGAGCGCAGAAATTTCATCGCCAGTGCAAGTAAAACAGTTTGCTGACGACCTAAAAATTTACTGCCCAATTAAAAAAGGAGACATGGGAGGATCTCTGCAAGAATCAATCAATAAAATCTATGAGTAGTCAATGAATGCTAAACTAGAATTAAATCTATCAAAGACCTGCTGCATCAGTCTTGGTAAAAACCCAAAATATATAAATTATTTCCTTGATAATGACAAAATTAAACGGGAAACTACAGTTAGGGATTTAGGATTTATAATCACTGAGAGATTAGATTTCTCTAACCATTGGCAGAAAGTTATTAATAGGGCGAAATACGCTAGTTACTCTATTTTTAAAACTTATCATAGTAAGAACGTTAGATTAATGTCATTACTATATAAGGCTTTCGTGCGACCGTATTTGGAATATGGAACGGTGGTAGCCAGCCCTTCTAAAAAACTGCTCATTGACAATATAGAGAAAGTGCAAAGCTCCTTCACTAGAAAATTGATGAATAGAATAGTGGGTAGAAACTTAACGAGAATTGATAAGGATTACAAAACATCTCAAGACAGATTGACCGAATTCAGCCTAGAATCACTACAATCTAGACGGGAAAAGCTTGATCTGAAATTCTTCAACAAACTCATTCTAGGTAAAATTAATATAAATCATTTATCATATTTTAAAATTAGATCGACAAAAACGCGCAGCCGCCACACCTACCAATGGAAAACTCCAAAGTCTAAACTTAAACAAAACTTCTTCACACATAAGGTTCTTAGTAAAATGATGAGCTCTACAAAACGGATCTAAAAGCCTGCTGCTGTCAGAAGTTCGGAAAAAGATTTGTTATTATCCACTATTATTCATTTCTAGGTTAAGAAATATCAATTTTATGTCACCATGTCCCTTTTTGTCTATT